AGGCAGTGGATGCTGAACACAACGACACCTTTATTATGATGTTTATGGGCCACGGATTTGATGAGAAGATCCAGGGGTGGGGCAGACATGAAGGCGATGATATGTTTATCAGGGATATTGTCGACAAGTTCTCTGAGCCTAATTGTGCGGAACTTCGGGGCAAACCAAAGGTCTTTATATTCAACTGTTGCCGAGAAAGTGAGTTATATATGCATTACATTTCCAATTGGAAAAATAATTGATCTTGATTATGATTTAAACAGTAAAATCGGAGAATACATTGCCCGGGATTTATAAGGATAAGAAACTAGTGATTGACTTCTCATCCATAGACAAGTCGTGGACTAATAAAAATAAGCGCACTTTTGTTACCTATGCCTGCGCTGAAGGTAACTAGGTACATTGGTCACTGTAAATTGTAAATTAAATAGTATTGCTTAAATAAATCATCAGGCTTAAAGTCGTGGTACGACGAAAATAGTGGCTATACATACTTTGGACGGGCATTAAGCCATACAATGGCACAGTTTGCGTGCTATAAAAGTCTCATTGAATTACTACAAAAGGTCTATATTCATATTAATTACTTTAAAATGGCAACAAATAACTCAATAATGTTATATAATGTATAATATTATATAAATTTAATATAAATTTAATTGAAATAATGTGTATATAAATGGCAGACAATGTTCCGAATGGAAGAGGAAAACAAAAGTGAGGGCAAGACTGAGGAGCACAACCCCGAGATCAAGATGTTTGCCTGTCAAAAGGATTTGTTTTTTAATCCAGGTCTTCCCAAGACTTAAAATAATCGATTCTATTTGAAAAGTTTATAAGTTTATAAACTCTAAAAATTAACTCATGATAAAATTTTGCAATCAGTCAGGAGTAAGTACTTGATACTTTTATAATGTGATTACCTTACTGAATGTCATTAAGTTTTATTTCAAATGTATTTCAAATAAATGAATAATAAATATATGAATTATCCGACGAGACCTCCGATTGTGCCCAAAAGGCTGTTAACATTCATGAATACACTGTTTATAATAGTAACGGCTTCGGCAGCGCTGTGATTGCCACCACTGCCATCACCACCAGTATTACCCGGAGCATTTATATTCACAAAATTGAAATCCTGTATCTGCTGTTTCCCACCCCCTCCGTGCCCTCCATGCCCTCCACGGCCTCCATGACCACCATGACCTCCGTGTCCATGTGACCCTTTCCAGTTTTAGTATTTAAATTTTCAAATAAAATTAATTATTATTCTCAATATTTTTGTAAATAATTCTTACCTTTCTTTCGGTTTAAGACCTCATTATTTGCAAACACATGTCTGGGAATCCACTCGGGTTTATGGGATTCATAATATTTT